CAGCAGGTTGCTCTAGGGGAGCGTCGCGCCCTCAAAGCCACGAGGCATTGCAAGTGACTGTACCTAGATTATTCAATCTTCAAGGACACCCTTAGGGAACTGTGACTCAACTTTGGAGCCACCAGCACAGCCTGCTCGTCTGGAATGCCCTGCCCCCTCCCCATCCACACCAGGTCTGGCACTACGCAATTTCCATAATTAGGTCTACAGACTGAATTGCACTCCCCCTCACACGCTTTGCAAACACCAATCCTAAAGAATGGCGAACGGGCTGAAATGCTGTTGTACTGTCACAGTTGCTTGGGAGTTCGGTTTGGCTGAACGCCATGTCAATGTCCATAGCTTACTTGCGCAGCCGCCAAATATAGAACAACACAAGATAGTCAACAACAACAACAACAACAACAACAGTCAGTCATACGCCGGGCGGCGCGTGGACGGGCAAGAGCTGACCAACCGTGTGGTCCCAGACAACAGGATTTTGTACAAGTCTGGTGATTTCACAGTGGCCGCCCAAAACGTGAAAAGCCTTGTTCCTAGTTTCAGTGATCCACTCACGTCTCGGTCTCCCTACTCTTCTCACGTACGCATCGGTGATAGGCTGCAAGGTTCCGGGGATGAAAGAATTCAAATGCAAGATAGTCGAACACCTGGAATTGGCGTACTGCTTGCCGACTGATCGCCAGCTCTAAGGGCAAAGAAGCCAGACATGCCGCACGTCCTCGTGGACACACATGGCATAGCGACCGCACATGATCCTTCCAGGCAAGCGCAATGCACACTAGCAAGACTAGAGCCGGGTAAAGCAGGTAAGATCACAAGCACAGCAGGTGCCTTCAGTGGCTTTGCCAAATCGCTCTCGATCAGTGGGAGGGATCCATGGCCCTGAAAAAATGCAAGAATCTCAGAAGCAGCTTCAACTATCATGTTTTGAGGCGCCAGCTGAGGTCGAGCTCAGATGTAAGGAAGGCACCCCGAGGTGCATCCACCTTACATCTCCATTCGCGACGTAGCTTATCAAACTTTAGCACCATAATACGCATGCTCAAAACAAGTTGTTGCTATCGAGCTCTCAATTTGTCTGGCTGCTGTGCACATTGTGAAGCTCACCAGCCTGCGACAAAGGGAATATATACTTCCCATCCCACAACGCCACAAAGTCTAAGTCTCCCATGGGATGCTCCACTCCTAAATAGTGTTCGCAGACTGATGCCCTTCTAGAAGGATGGGACTGTGCCCGGCAAGCTTCTGTGAGACCCACTTGTGAACGCTATACCATGTGCGTTTTAGCTGCAATCAGAGATTGCCGTCCCACTGTGCCTATCTCGGAGCAAGCTGTGGTGAGACTCAGAGATTGGAATCCCACAGCGCCGTACGGCATCCTATGGCCCTGAACCCCATGTACAGGTTGTGGGTCATCTCCTTGTGCAGCTTGCCAGGGTCATAGCCAGCCTGCCGCAATAAGTTCTTCTGATCCTTGTTCAAGACAACCCGCCGTCGCAGTCTGCAAATCGGTGGGACCAACCAGCGGGCTGCCTCCAGGACCTCACGGGGGGTTGTCAGAGCGATAAGACCCATAGTCTACACTCCTGGCATCCCCCTTAATAACTCCAATGATAGCCCCCTATATATATTGTGGTTCCCGGAGTTGTCGGGATTAGGGAGTCCCTACCTGCGCATCGTTCATGAACTGCATACATGCCGAGATCTCGGCCTGATCCTTGGTGCGTTTTGCACCCCCCTGATACCTCTTGTTGTAAAACAAGGGGTGATCAGTGTTGCCACAATTCCATGCGGTGTTTGCAAGTGTTCGTAGTAATACTGCCGGACGTTGAAGCCGGCGTATCGGTCAAAGAAGTGGAGGACCGCCAGCTTGGGATGAAAACCATTGATGTTTAGGCCGATCAGCCTCTGCATCGAGCGAGCTTGCTCCGGCAAACGATCGCTGTGAGCAAAGTCCAAAAGTTCTTGCACGCTTTTCAGATTCCGAATGTGGACGACTCCATCACTAAAGCTGCCAGCTTGGCCCTCGGAGGAGGCTGTGCCGTGCTCCGCATCCTCATTCTGGTCTGATTCCTCCTCCTCATCTTTGGCATAGCTCCAGTCATCCAAAACGGGACGCTGCGAGCTTTGAGAGGAGGCGGCAGCGCCTTGCGAGGCGAAGACATATTCTTCACACTCTTGCGCTCGCCGGATTTGGCCGCTTGTTCCCAAGCCATGGCACCATGGATGGGCAAATGGACAGATTCCGAAAAAAGAGTCTTGAGACAAAACTTCGATCAAAAGTACAACCGTGGACTTTCCCTCAGGCCCAGCAAGGGGTAGCTCTGCCTGCCTTGTCCACGAAACCTCGTGTACTCTTTCCTTTCTCAAGTCGTCCCCTCCATCTCCCTCGTCTTTTCTGAAGCAATGTAAGGAAGATCTCTTGGCCCGGCGCCCAAAAGCGCTTCTCCCAAGCTTCTAGGCCCTGCACAAAGAAATCTGGAAAGGGGTTACTTATGCGCAGATACAGAAACGATCTGCCTGGTAGAGGAAGGCATGCGGACAATTTCTGCAGCTCATTGTCCATCATGCCCAGCGTGACTGTGAGGCACATGCGATACTCTACCTGAAACGGCAAGATGGCAAGCTGCTCACAAGTCAAAGCAGCGCCCAAGCATCCGACCCGAGTTACTTGGGACTCATAGGTGCAAGAGTTGCATGCCGCTCGCCTGACAGTGATGAATACCTGTAGTAGAAGAGGGCATTTTGATTTCAGGACTGAAGAGAGGGCCCATGAGCATGCCAAAGACGTGGCCAATCATGCTGCTTGCTTGCGATCGTCACTGCTGACGTCTGCTGAGAATCCGATGTACTTCTTAAGCTGCAATGGTGGCGCCTCATGTTGTTCCTGCTCCGTACACCTCAAGATTGCTGAGCATTTGCTTTTGCAGCCAGCTCCAGCGTAGAGAAGGTCTCCATGCTCCGGGCCCCGGTTTCGAGCAGTCAGCTCCAGATCCATCGCGCACCTGCCGACGCGTCTGCGATGCACTACGCCTTTGAACTCTCTCCTTTGAAGGCCTTAACGCACCCCACAAGCCAGCCGTAGATGAGAAGCCTGTATGCTTCGTGGGCGTCAGCTTGCACGCCAAAGGCAAACTGCTCAGATGCCTCCAGGAAAAATATGGGAAGGGTCAAGATAGAGGAGAGTACATGATGGCCGATGTGGCCAGCAGATGCAACCTTGGGGCGAGGGCTTCTGTGATGAGCCGTCTAAGGCCACTTGGAACGTCGACCTCTGCCAGGTGCACAAAAGGTGCACAAAAAGAGATCATTCCCGTGGCCACCTAGTCAAGTAGGGCAACTGCGTGGCTTGCTCCTCTGCGCTTGGCTTCATCGACGAGGAGACCTTTGCAAGCTCCACTGAGAACACTGCGAAGGAAGAGGACTATGGCGCGGGACATAGCCCCAGCAGCTGCGCAAGCCAAGGATCCTGAGAGGTTCTGCAGGGCGGGAATTGGGAAAGAAAGTTCGGGCGGTTTGGGGTCCTCGGGAGGCGCGCAGCCTCCAAGGTCGAGGGCCCTCCAGAAAATGTTTCTTGGAAATTTCGAGCCGACGCATCTACTCTGGTTCTGGCCTGCTCGCTGATGACGTTCCACATGGTGCAGCAACTCCGAGAAGGTGGCTCTGAAATGATGTGATATACATGATCAGCAGGAAAGTTCGGCTACTGCAACCCTTGCGTGTTTGACCTGCTGTGAGGCCATCCTTCAACTGCTTGCTCTTCTTGACAACCTCATGTCACGTGGGGAGGACTGAAGGCGAGCTTCAAGCCAAAGGTTCCGCAGCACGCAGAACTGATCAGAACTGTTTCTAATGTGATTGGAAGATGTTTCATCTTTGCTCTGAAGGTTGTTGGATGGGAGAAAGAGGACAGCGTGCAACTTCGGCTCAGAAAATCACCTTTGCATTGTGTGGTGCAGCTGTTCTCTGCTCAAACAGTTTGTGCTGCTTAAGCCACACCTTACACCTGTGAAACCACACCGTTGAATCCAAAAACAATTGTGGATGGAAGCTTCTGGGTTGAAACGCCCGCCCAAGCTTTGCATCGAAAGATTTGCTTTCGACCACTTCGTTTACCAACTGCAAGTCTACCGTCTATTTGTACGGCAACTGTCGCTTGAAAGAAAACTTGCAATAGCTGGTGAAAAGAATGCTTTGCTTTGATTTCTGCAGTCGTCTGCCCAGCAGCACTTGTAAGCAATGCGAAGCACTACGAAAACGAGGACTAGTCTGGCCAGCTCAATATTTTGCTTCAACCTGCTGCAGGTCGGCACTTCGCACCAGGATATCCGCAGGATGCATGAGCACTGACTGAGAATTACTTCTTAGCAAAAACACAGCACTTGTAGTTGCGCAGGAACAGTCGAACATCCTGTGGCTCTGCCACTCGCTTTGGTGGCAGGATGCAAAGCAATGGTATCCCAGCGCCGGCCCAGCTCAGCAGAGAGCCATGGTTGTAGAACATCGAAACCATAGAAATAAATAATCATGACGTGGTGCCCGTCATGCTGAAGCTCTGAAGTCTGAGGCATGGCCCCCTGCCTTTCCTCGGCTGGTATGTGCTTGCAGCCCTGCTTTCTGTGGTCAGTGTAGCTGCTTGAGGTTCTTTGCACCGTGACGATCATGACAACAAAGCTGTGACATATTGCCTTTTTCTGCAACAAGTGAAGCTTGCTGCTGGGAGGGTTCCGGGCGGCTACACTGACCCAATCTGACCGATACACCCTGCGGTCGGCTTGCTCAACAAGCCGGTGTGTGTTAACAGGGCGGCCATTTGTAAGCCGCTGTGAGGAGCCCTTTGAGGGTCCTCTGCAAATGGGTCCTGCCAGCTTCTCTGTGGAAGAAACAAAGACCTTGCACTGTTACAAGTAGCATCTTCTCCAATTAGATGGAATCAGCTGAAGGAGCCGGAATCGCCCGGCATCTATAGAATCTAGCCAACTATAACGGCCACAGGTTCAGCGTGCCATTGGCGTCACTGTGCACATTGCCTCGAAGCCTGCACCCCGCCCCGCAAGTGCTGCTCTTTGGAGCTACATGCTTGAGGCAACTGCTGACAGCTGGGTGCCCAGCTCTCACCGACGGAGTTGACTGCTCTGACGCCATAGTGGTTCTGCACGCCTGCACTCTGCGCGCGACAACCGATAAGTCATGCAACCAGGTGCCTGCCTGGATCTTGCCCAAAGAAGCTTGCGCTCGTGATGGTGTTGCTGACCTGTTGCAAGCGTCTGAGTGTTGTGTTGCCCGCTTGCAGTGCAGTTTGCCTCTGCCATTGCGCCCGTGGAATTGGTGAAGTTGTCTTCGCCTGGGCGCGCTGGGGTGCAGGCGTTCTTCACAAATTCTGTGCCAAACAAGTCCCTGGCTGACGATGTAATGAGTGACAATGGAGTTGCCGTTGAAAGCGTTTGGTGTCCAGGACATGTCGACCTCTGCGTAGATGCATTGGGAGTTAAATGCAGCCGAATTCACGGCTTGCTGACAGGCGGCCTGCTCGGCCACAGTACTGGTGCACGAGAGGATCGTGGGCTGACCGGGAACCTGTTCAGCATTTTACTTTCGAGAGCTAGCAAAAGGACAGCCTCCCAAACATCCCTTTCATGTGAGCTTTGAACGAGCCCATGCAGTCCTCAGCGCTGACCAGCGCGATGGGCCCTGCCCAAGGCGACCCTACGCCAGCTACGTTCACCTGGCATGTCACTCCAATAGAATCGCCTATGATCGCTCGTTATGACCCATGACACATCGCTGCTCCCAGAACATGGCAGGACCACGGCTCGAACCTGGAAGTAGTAAGTCGTGCCCGTGGTCACAGCCTGAGCCAAGAAACCCAGGCCCATGCTCAGTCTCTTCATCCGATCCCCGTAGTGACATAGGCGCTCACATAGGGCTCAAGGCCCACACGGACAACTATGCAGGCAACATAGGCAAGGTGCTATGACGGTCAGCTTGGGACGCGGCCAGCGTGAAGTTGGTGTCCGTGTCCGAAACGGTCGTCTGCTTCGTCATGCTTCCCGTGGAAGCTCCTGCGTAGACCTGCGGAGCAAAGCTTTTCTTCCAGGACTCTAGAGCCCCGAGACAACTGGATCCCAAAAATAATTCTGTGCAATCAATACAGTACACCTTAATAAGGCCTTTTACCCTTCAGCTCGTATTCTCCAGTACATGTGCTTTCGGAGGCTCCACACTGAGACCGTACTGTCATGTACTGTCCATACTTGCAAAGATACATAGTCTTGTGCTTAGGGGGCCTCGTAGATAACATTGTCCGCGTTGTCGCCACCAGCTTCTGCGTCGGTCAGAAGGGGGTCCCAGCCTTTGCAAGGCACTGCGCAGTGAAAGCTTAGACTTTTGAACTAATTACATGAGCCGCCGAAGCGCACATTATCGGATCCCAAAATGTAGCCAAGTGTTTCCCAAAGCGTGCTGAGTGCAGAGCTGATCTGGATCGTGCCACTGACGGCTGTATCTGGATGCCTGCAAGCGGTCTCCCTCAATCCCTACCTCTGAAACATACCTTCTCATTCTGATGACAGTGCTTCACCGCTTCATGATGCTTCATTGCTCTGCTCATGCCAATGAAGCGCAATAAGAAATTCCTGGGATGGCGCCGTGCGAAGAGGTCTCGCCTTCCGAAGTTTCCAGGTGTGTTTGGCGCATCCAAGCACCAGCCCCGTGGAGGGTCGACCAGCGAGGACCAGCTGGACCTGCATCCGGAGATGCTGTGATGCTGCTCCTGTGGGCCCTGCACTCCATTGGGTCCGAGGATGATGCCAGGGACCATTGCCCATCTTGTTCACCGCCCTCACCCGGAACTGGAACTGCTTCTTCCTTTGGATCACCGATGCTTACATACGCTTCGCGCACATGCTCTCTAGTCCCCTGGGGAGCAGACGCCACGAGATTCAAGCCAGTGATCGTGTAAGTGGTGCCTGTCTGGGGTGAACCGCTCGTGCCGGTTGCATCCCAGGCCTCACAGTCACAGGATCCTTGCACAGGCACGCAGCGCAAGGGGATTGCTTCGCCTGCGTCGTGTCAGCTGCCACGTCGCGCATCTCGCCCACGTAGTTGTAAATGAAAGCCCTGGAAGCACAGATGCATGGTCGATTGTGAGCATGCCAGCACCTGACCCTCTATCCCGCTTTGCTTTTGTCCTCCAACATAGCTCATTCAGGGCCCTGGCCCGTTGTCAGAGGGTGCTGTCCAAGTGAAGGTTAGCGATGGTGTTAAAGCACCGGCAGAATTCCTCAGAATGTGAAACCCATTGCCGCTCACATCATGCTGAGCTGAAACGCGGTGCGTTCTCATGTTGGCATGGCTGGGCTCGAGGCACGAGGTCTGTGATCTGCGCAGGTACTGCAGCCGCGAAGAGGGTGGCTGCTGTGGACAGCGGTCCTGTGGTGACATCTGCCACTTGCGCTGTCCCACAAATGGTGCTTCGCACAGTTGGATCTGGAATCTAGAGCGTGTGCTCCTTCGCCAACATCATTGATGGCCAGCATCTGAACAGCATACCTGCGCCAAGGCAGCATTGCCTGCGAACTCTAACTCGGGCAGGCCCCGAGCCAGGACTGTACTTGCAGCAGCTGGCCGCTGAAGCAACAGCCCCCAAACAAAGCTGGGACGTTTGTGCTGACTGGGCAGGGAGGGTCACGTGGCACCAGAGCTGAGACCCGTCAACGTACAGGTCTGCGGTGCTGGCACAGTCTCTCTGTTGCATGTCGCATCCTTGGTAGGCGTAACTTTGCCCTCCTATCCCACTGTCTCTGCAATTACGTCTGCGAGGCGCGAGGCCCGCGCTGGCGAGCCATTCATAGCTGTGGCACCACCATCGTTTCGGTAGACCTGCGCGGGACCGCAGCTGTGCCTCTAGCTCCCAACAGCTGTAGCATTAGCTATCTAGTGCAGGTACGTAAATGGGCAGCAACTGCGCCACCTTCACGTCGAACCACCCACCCCCCCGGAAAACAAAATCCGCAGTGCGCGCATGGACTGGATTTATCACGTCTCCTTTAAGTGCCGCAGTCCTCAGGATGGGCTTCACTCAAGGAGAACGGCAGCTCTCAGGGATGGGTTCCCTTCTGGAGCGGACATGAGCATGCGGAATCGATTGTAGTCATATGTTGTAGTCACATGTCGTCACCTAGTCGCATCATGTCACGGAAGGAGCCGGTACATTGAGTCTTGAGGCTCTGCATGGCTCGGCTGGTTTGCCAATGGGAGCTTGTATGGAAGGCCTTGAAGCCAACAGCATTGCCGCCCTCCATGCTGGGAACGCTGTAGACCTTTCTTGAGCGACCGTACACAGGACTGTGGATATACAGCTTCGACACACATTGCCTTCTCACCTAGACCTAGCGTCAGATGAACGACTCTCCAAACCCTAAACAACTTCACACACTCAGGCGAGGGCCAGGACAATGCTGGTAGCACTGCCCGTGCTTGCATCCTGTACGGGAATCAGAAAACTTGATGTTGTCAACAATTGGCCTGGACCCTGCCTGGGTTGGTGCGGACATTTGTGCTGGCTCACCCGCAGCCTGTTGCAAGCTGTCGGTTGTCTTGGGCTGACGAAATCAGAATGCTGCAAGGAAGTGCCTTGATGGTGACCCAATTGCTCTCAACATAGCCGCCGCTGTTGTATGCGCGCACTCTGAAGGCGTACAGTGTTCCGGACACAAGACCTGCTTCCAGCGCCGGGAAGATCTCATATAAACAGTTTCCAATACCCAGCGCTCTGTTCGCAAAGGGCTGTTCTGGCCTGTGTGTTGGTACTCGAGCACGTTGGCAACCAGGTCTCAGGCAAGATCACTCTGCGAGCATGGTGGCTCGAACCGCTTTTGCTGTAGTCTGCTGAGAGGGAGACTGGTGTCCAGAGGGTCGGTAGCATCACCAGCTCCTCGCAAGAGTCCCGAGGGCATATAACCAGGGGATGACACGGGGATCACAAGGGTTCCTCGTTACGGTACTAGAGTTATCATATAGGGTTGCAGTAGTAAGGTTGTAGGGGTCCTTACGTGTACGGGTCTGGCTGTCCTTTCTGTCAGCCTTATGTCATGACATGACTAGAATCTTTTCACACCGGGAGGCAAGTTGACGACTGCTTCGCTTCAAGATGTGGTGCAGTTGGTACTGTTTGACTCGTTTTTGGCCAACCCTGCCCTCCACTTCCAGGCTTGACTGTCACGGAATAGCTTAGCGCCTATGGCGAACATGAATAAAATTCAGTGAGCAGCTGGAGCCGCCTCGTGCATTTTTGCTGGACGCCAAACACTGTCCTGGATAGATCTCACTCTCTGCCGTGCCATCCAGGTTCGTGTCGATGTAAACCCGGTACCTGCAGCGATTAGGAGACCTGCATAAAATGCACACCGAGTAAGGACCCGGGATCGTCCAGCTTTCAGGGCACCCGGTCATGGGGCAGCCATTGTCTGCAGGCGCTGTCCACTGCACCGTGACCGTTGTTGCAGTGGAAGACTTTCGGGTCTCAGCAGGGCTGAAGCTGTGTGAGCAGGGTTCTTGGCATAGCGGCATAATAGCTGAGCATCCAGCAGGTGCCGCTGGTGTGTCAGGTAGTGGGCACGAGCGCACTGATAAGGCCGTGGAAAGGTCTGATTCGGCGGTTGTGGTTACCACGCTGACCTGCTCTGACAGCAGAACATCCTGACCTCGATACTGCCCGAATGGCATCCCTGCCTGCACAACATACACTGTGTCGGTCGTAAGACCCGTGGCCGTGTATGACCGCGAGGACCTGAAAGGTGTGAATTCATCACTGTTGCACTACACGACTGATCGAATCGAAAGCTTGCTAACGGAGCTGTTTACATCAAACAGCTCCTTGTAGTGAGGCTACCGTCGCTGTGGCAATTCCGAGGCCCTCTCGTATCAGCCACCGTGTCACGCAATGTCACGGCACCGCCAGCACCGTCATCCATGTAGATCTGTGTTCACGCATGCTGCAAAATGAATCAACTCTTTCTCCCATTTTACTTGCTCTGTCCTAAGTGACCTGCGACATGGGCTTGAGCACAGACTTGAAAATAGCATGTGGCGGCCTTGAAAGCCAGGAGCTCCGCGCCATTGAGCGCTCCTGCCATGCTTCAGTCTAAGGTGACCTTCAGTCCTGATATGTCCTTCCTCATGTGTCAAATACACAATAAACATAAACCGAGGAGAGCACCCTCTGCAAAGTTGACTGTCACCTGCTCCATGAGAAGCTCAATGCTGTGACAGATTGTGGCAATCAGTTTGTCGAGTGCTGATTGGGAGATATTTCTGGCATTACTGTACGTAGGGCCCGAGCAGAGCTCGATGATCCCGCATAGCCATTCGTCCTTGCATCCACTGCATCTTACTGGGAAGCCGCAACGGCTGATGGCCGGCTCATAGTGGGTGTGTCATGCAAGAACCGGAGATTCTTAGAGCCCCACACAGTCGGAGCATCAGGCTTGTTGGCACAGAAGATGCGACTGATCGGCGAGTACCTGCTACCGCTTCAATTCCCGGCCTTTCATACAGCATATGGCCTTTGCTGAACCTGACGTCTCCTAGCAACTCTTTACTTAATTTGGCCGTCTGCTGAAGTGCCGTGCTCATCACTTTATCCATGCTTGAAGTGTGGCCGTATCTAAACGAAGGTCATGGTGGGTACGTTGACTTTGGTCTGCTGCAGACTTTCCGTCTCAGAAGAACTGCGCGAACCTTCCTGAAATTTGGGCAGTCGCACTGTCCGACACCCACGCCTGTGACAGCAGCTACCTCATCTGGTTCATCTTGCACGGCCCAATATGGTAGTTTCCCAAGATGGGGGGGGTGGGACCCCAATACAGACCCCAAACTCTTATTAGCATAATCTTTATTATAGGGGCCCCGAAAAGGTGCCCCCCAGTTTTGGGAAGGCCCCAACATGCTACAGGCAGAAGAAGGAAAGGCGTCAAGGTGTCTCGAGGGTCTGACCCGAACGTAAACGAAGTTTTGCGAGCGGTCCTGGCCTGGGGACAATGGGGTATGTATGTATGTATCTATCTATCTATCTATCTATCTATCTATCCATGTATGTATGTATGTATGTATGTATGTTATGTTATGTTATGTTATGTTATGTTATGTTATCTTATGTTATGTTATGTTATGTTATGTTATGTTATGTTATGTTATGTTATGTTATGTTAGTATGTATGTATGTATGTATGTATGTATGTATGTATATCTTATAATATATATATATAGTGGTTCTAGTAGGGATCCTATAGGGGTCATTGAAAAGAAAATGTAAACTACTTTATAATGGGATATATATTGAGGTAACAGTAGGGAATAAGGGAGTATAATCCCTATAGTATAACCCCTATACAGAATACATTCTCTTATTTCCTTCTAGTGGGGTATAAAGAGATCCTTTACGACATCACGGTTAGCTTGGTCAGCGGCCACGCACGGTGGTGCAGTCCACCACCACCTCCTCAGTACCTTTCATTCATATTTTCTACTGAGATGAGTGCTTGTGCGCGAAGCTTCTCGACATGAAACCCAGGATTTGAGGCCGCAGCCAACAGCAGTGGTTGCATCTGGTGCACTGGATGCTGGCCAATTCGAGGCTGCGAAGCCAAGAGCATAATAGACATTCCTCCGCTGGAAGCTTTGTGGCAATCTGAAGCGGGAGCACTAGGGTTCAATTGGGACCCTGCCAGTTGGTAATGGATGAGCCTCCATCTGAGCCTGAACAACAAGGGAACAGGACAAGCTTGTTGCCAACATCCCAACCGACACTGAAGGCACCGAACCTGAGAATGTCCAAGCAACCTGCAAGGCAACAAGAGAGCTCGTTCTCGCTTTGTTGGTCTAATGGGTGACGCCCCTTACAAGGCGCGAGCGGTCAGCTCGTTGTTGTTTTGTGAGGACTTGTAGTATGGTGCTGAAGGCGCATCAGCATCAGCACCTCAAGCAAGGACGTTGGTCATGTCACCTCAATGGTGTTCCAGCCGCTTGCTGCTCCATCTTCGGCAGCCAGTTACCATTTTTTGCTTGCGGGCACGTAAGAAATCTGGGACAAACTGCCCACTGTCCGACACTTGGTGAGACCTGTCCAAGTTACCGTTACGAATCCACGTGCATGGCAGCCGGCGCCACCTGCACATTTCGTCCAGTTCAGGACATTACAAATCCTTGTGAGCTCTGAGGAGAAATAAGAGCCTTCGGCGACGACTTAGGCGTCAGCTTTGGTGAGCTCTTCGACCTCTGCTGGCCGCAGGCACCCTTCTGTAGCGGTGCCATTCGACCGTACGAGATTGCAAAGACCTGCTGGGGGTCCTGCTTGGTTTTGCGCGACTTTTGTGGCACCTTGGGCTTTGCTTTCGCCTGGTCTGGCAGGAGCTCAAGTGTCCAGCCCAGCATGTTCACGATTGAACGCCCATACCGTCCTTAGCCGCTTCATCCTTCTTGCGGCTAGATGCCTGGTACTCGGAGACTGTGCCCTGCTCAATTTTTTTCGTGCGTTTGAACAGTACCCAGCCTGCTTTTCCTGATACCGCGCGCTCCTTTGCGGTCAGGCAGGGTGCCAAGTTCAGCCACATCATAGTGCAATGCTAAAAGCCCTAAAGCCTGTTTTTCTTCTTGTGTTTCAGCCTCAGAGCTGAAGTTCTGGACAAAACTCGAACATCACTTTTCCTCATCCTTACCCTATAGCTGGCAACCTGGGGCACACGCTTCTTGTTTTGGCTCATCAGGCTCGCGCCGGAGCCGCCTGATTTGCCTTAGCTGCCCGTGCCCTTGGATACCCCGCTTGTACGGTAGAAGCTGAGAGGTCGACCGCGCTTCGCCATGAGGCAAAGGTGCAAATCAATCCAATGTGTGAAATGCGCTGCTAAAAGCAGGTCTCATGGGGGTTTTGATTTGTTGTTTGAGAGATCTCGCTGGATGAGCTCTGCAGCTGCAGCAGACAGGATTTGACGTCCAAAGCCCAAGGCCGAGCCATTACCGGTGCAAGGGCGACCATTTTCTCAAACAAGCGCAGGTGGTCGACTTGGCATTCTACATGCCGGGAACCTCTATGGCTTGCGCCTTCTCCGGCACGGGCTCCGTGATTCGGAGCTCACCAGTGGATGATTACGCAGACGCGCGAGGGCCACAGCTTGACATCCGAAACAACACAGCTGCTGAAGCCTCGAAAGCATGCATTGCGAGTGTCCAAACAGAGTGGGATCGGAGAGGACTCCAAAAAGGGTGCAGGAACATGGTCTCACATTGGCGGACTTTGCGGATTGGGCAATGTTCCAAAACCAAACCCATGCACGGCCTCGTTCTTCCAAGGCATCCTTGAGAGCCTTGGCGGGGTCTCGGTTCAGCTTGGTCATTGCGCTGTAGAGCCTGTTGCGGGCTCGCGTCTCTCACTGCGCCGCAACACTGGCCTAAGCAGCCGGCCTTCGCAAAGCCCCCTCTTTGGCCTCTCCATCCAAGACCGCCTGAAGGCGGAAGTCCAAGCTATGTAGGATTCCGTGTTCCAGCACGAGTTATAAGGAACGCTGACCAAAACCCTGTCAGCGCTCGCCTGGCAGACAACCTTGCAGTTGGCAGCGGCGGATTCGGCCTGTGGCATAATGATGTCGTCCAACAGTTCCTGGGCTCCACGCTTGATGGCCATGACAGAGGCCCCCATCCCCATCTAACCATCAGGCTAACGTGTCTAGGCCTGACTTGTGCAAAGGTTGAGGGTCATCCAAAGCCAGGCGAATCTTCGCTTCAGCAGCCTGCAAATGCAACCATGATGCGAGCACCATGTTTCTGGCAACGCGCGTCATATCACCAACTGCGCCGCACCAAACACAGGCAGCAGATAACTAGCCCCTCTTGGCGAAGCCACAACTGGCTTCAATATGAACTAACGTGTACTTACCAAGGTGCCAATGCTGCCTGGCAGAATCTTCAGTATAAGCCTCAAAAAAAACTGGTGCATTCCCGACGACAAACAACATCATCCTAGGAAGCTTGCAGAACCCGTGTAACCATTCGCATTCAAACATGGGCAACTAATAGTCTTTGAAACCTGCACTTTTGCCTGCCGGGCCGTCTCAGCCACGCGACGGAGGCGGGCTGCGCAGGATGGCCTTTGGTCTGGTTTTGCTGGGGACAAAGCAGGGTCCCCTGTCCCGCTGTCCCTTTTCGGGCTCCAGGCCTTTAATAAGCGCTCTCATATGCTGACGCCCCTCTTCCCCCCTCCTCTTTTCCTGCTCCTGGACTACAACCGCTTACGCTGGACCCCGCTGCCCTCCGAGGCTACAAGATTGCCGTGCTGCAACAACGTACAGCAGTCCACATCTCCTAAACTTGCGTATAATGACCTGTGTTACTTCAACTTCGCGTCTGCCATCCCCCCCCCATTTTTGAATCGTCCTTCAAGTTAAATGGTTCATGTGGCGCTTCGGGGCACGATGGTCTCTACCTCGCCCCTACTGAAGGCTTACATGCGTCTTCGTATTCACCATGCTCCGCCACTGACAGGGCACATCCTGTCAGTCACATCTGGGGCGGGCCTTGCGGAAAGTGCACCAAGCTTCTTGGCGGCAGCAGCCCGAAATATCGCCAAACATACACTTGGAGTGCATTTTTATACTGCAGGACGCTATAGTCGCACATGTCCATCAGCTTACTTGCCATCTGCTGCAGCTTGTCCATGTTCCTTCCGGTTTCGCGGGAGGGTGTTTGCAACATGCTGACATCCTCTCTGCCTCACCCCACTGAAGCGAGAATTCCTCCTCCATATTATGTACTTTCTGTACTGCCCTGTGCCCAGCTTTTTGACTTCTTTGCTCTTCTCTCATGCCCTCTGCCTGCCTTTACTTCTCTTGCTGCTGCAAAGCCACTATACACCTGTTCCCCCCACACTAAAGTGGGTTCAGTGTTGCACTTCATGTTTCCAGACCTGCCTCCCCCCTCCACACCCCCTCTGCCACACTGCCCCCTCATCTCATCTCCTGCCCCCTGCCATTCTTTGCCACTCTTGCTCTTGCTACGCAGTTGTCATACATATGTTTCAGGTCATGCTTGCAAATCTCCTCCGTGAGAGTAGCGATATAGTAGCAACCCGTCATACGTGTAGCAGTTTTTCTGAACACGCAGCAATGTTGTTGTTGTTGTTGTTGTTGTTGCCGTTGTTGTCGCAGTGGTTGCAACAGCGGTGCAGCGGTTGTAGCACTTGCTGATGCTCTTGCTACGGCAGGCTTGAGTGCCTATGTCAAGCCCACAGGAAAACAAATTGCACAAGTGCCTTACGTCGGCACACCAAGTCTTCATCAAGCAGGACCACCCATTCAAGCAGATGCACTCTCAGGCTCCTGCTTCGGTAAGGTGTCGCCAGCAAGGAACTGCCAAGGGCGCCGCTTCAGCAACATTGCAAGATCCCCGGTTATGAATTCCCAACGTGCAGGTGAAACGAAGATGGTCATCAAAACCCAAAAACAACACATGATCCCTTTCTGTTTCCCTCACCTAGGGAACAGCGTTCTAAGTCCTCGTGCTCAACATGGTTTCATCCTATCCATTAACACATCTCAGAAGGCCTGGAGCAGCAACTGTTGGGCATCGTATGGCCTGGGCAGCATGATGCAATCAGACCTGGCTTCCTCCAGTTTCCCCTCTATTGGCTGCGGAGTTTCGCACATGGGAGGACCAGGGACCTGTTTCAGGATTTGAGGTCTGTAACACACTTACACCGACTTACACCTACTTTAGGCCTTCAGGACTGGGGGCTACCCTGTTCTGACATGCCATGTGCGGGTATAAAAGCTGACAAATCGTTTGTGCATTCGGGCATGCTCGCCATGAACACTCTCAGATACTGAGAAAAATCCCGACGGACCGTCCATCTGCAGACATGTCTCGTTTGAACAGGCATTGCCACAAGGTGCTTGGCTATCTGCCGGATGGCTTCAGCGGTTCCGCAGAAATCATGCTGCATGGCATTTGTGAAACCCCTGTTTCCCGATTCATCCAGGTCAGTTGCTTGCACCACCGCTGCTTTCGCTGCAGCTGGAGGCCATGACCCCCAACTTCTGGGTCAGCTTAGAAGTGTCTTCACAGCACCCGCTTGTAGCCTGTCCCCGTCCGCAATAATGCATGTTTCTTTATTATTGCCCTCCTGCCCATGCTGCTCCTACTCCTCCTCATTCCTTTGCCATGGAAACAAGCATCTTCCAGCTGTGGATCCGTTGGTCCCTAGCCGCTGGTTTCTGGCATAGCTACAATGCATTCCCTTCCTACGCAAGGTCATACTTCTAACGCTGCAAGAAATAGGAATCTTCGAGCGCCAATGTTACAGGCAATCTCCAGCTCCTCCACCTACGTGATGTCATCTGGCTCAAACTCATACAGCATCATACGCAGATGCTACTTATTCCACTTTCCATGCTCCTGAGACCTTCTACTCTAATCCTGATGCAACCCTGCAATCAGTGGTTTCCACTTCAAGTTCCATTTGCTTTCCCATATGATTCTCCATTACACTCTAAGCTCTAAACCCTGAGGCTCCAGCATCGCTTTCAGGCACCTATTGCCAGCAGCGCGCCGCACGGCCAGCAACCAAGTCCAAAGCTGAGCTGCGCGAACCCTGGCAATGTGGCAAGGCGCTATCCGCATGAAGGCCGGAATGGTCCATCATTCATGCCTTCGAAAATGCTACCTGCCACGATTCTGAGATTCTGATATGATTGCCTCAATATGACGGCCCTGCTAGTTGAGGCTCTTATGACTATCGGTCAGGTAGTTGTAATGCCATTACGAAACAAGGTACAGCGGTATCCATAATCCTAGTAATAGTATTCTTCGTCCCTCCTTTGTGCCAAGCGCTTCTCGCTTTGCGCCGCGTCCTCCACCGCCAGCGCCTGGTACCTCGCAGGCTAGGTACATACATGGGAAACCGAAATCAGGACAGGCATGCGCATATCTTGTGGATTCACCGTCACACACTAGATACGTATTTTGGATGAATACATAGACACACAGACATGCAGACGAGATAGATGTCTCGCAAGAGAGATGGGTCGTGATTTTTAGGTGAGTGACGCAAAAAATAATTCTATGAAAGGGTATATCTGTATACATACACAACGCCTTCATGGCTAGCATCGGAAATGATGCTCTTGTGTTCGCACCGCTTCTGCATTCTTGCTATCATTGAAACCCTAGACTGAAACCTAGCCTACTTCGGCTGCAAGCCTGAGTAGCTCAACATGGCTCAACTAAGCTTAGATCGCGTTTTATAATGATGAACCCGATCAAGCATCATGAAATGGATCCAGATTAAACCTGCATGTCAGGAGCACCATTTGCGGAAAGCTGGCGACACCATGGATCGGAAGGCTTTGCCGTCCCATGGACTACAGACCCTACGGACACTACCACATTTGGGGTTGCTTGGGGGCGGTTGGGAGTATGTTTCATGAGCATCTGAGATTAGAAAAGCATAGAGTTGTCTCTGCATACCCAAGCAAGATAACCAATCTGATGCTGTAAACCTACTGCTTGCAGGCGTATCTGTGCCACAGGATCCGCACAAACAGTTTGAAGACTTAAACAGCTTGCTATAACATATTTGCGCCGCATGGTTCCGGGCTGGCTCAGCTGCGTCACAGACAACCACAGACATCTGCGCAACATAGCTCAATGAGAGTGACTTCAAAAGCGAAGTTGGGGCTTAATCTCGGAAAGTGCGAAAGGCTTGGTCTTATGAATTGATACATGATCAACTTCAGGGGCTATAGGCTATTACCTGGGCCCCTTTGATGGGGCTTATCCTCTTTGTGGTTGGGGTGCCCCAAACTGAACTCGGCATATCGGGAAACAAAGGAAGGGTAAGGCGCAAATCCGAGACCCGGCACCGGCCACGGCTGTCAGCACAGGGGACGCGTCGGAGTCACCCACCTCCGAGACCACCTGCAGAACTGTCTATCGAATGTGATATTGTTGAGTTCTGTAGATACGGGATTACAGATAAAATGCATGTATTTCGGCGGAGTAGGGGTACAATAGGATGGTAGACAAATTTTGAAAAAGAAGCCGGAGAGTCAGGGGGCCTAAGCGGTCAGCGAAAGCATGTGGAACCGGCACTTCAGGTCAAAGGAGCTGCTCCACTGACAATAAAGGCACTGGCTTCAACTTCTTGAAAAGCTGGACATTGTCCTAAACATATCATATTGGTTCAATTGGCTTAATTACGTTTGCAGGATTCTCACACAGACAATGTTTGAAATGGCGGTGCCGGAAGGGATCAGTGCCATGACATGACTTGTGCTGTCGATGCATCCCGGAATCCAAGTACAACCTGCACGTACCGTCAACAAGCCTTGATGTAGAAGCGGTAGGGAAGCGAAGGAGTCAGGCCCGTCACTGTGTACTCCGACGTGGCACCAGAGCTGATGACTACCTCCCAGGCACTTGGCTGTTGAAGGGCGAGCTACCTACGAGCGCATGCAACTGAATCTGTTCACAGCACAATCTGCGCTGCTTGTCAGTCAAGCATCTGAAGCACAGCTTTTGATCAAAATCCAGAACTATTGTCATCAATCATTGCATCATGAGCATGCCGCTACCGTCCCCTGAAATGCAGCGGGAAGCCTCCGTGTACGCGCCGCTCAGACCATCATCATAGTAAAACTTGTACCTTGATGGGATTGAGTCTAGCAACCTGTTGAAGCAACGCTTTCTCCACCAGCTGCCGAAGAAGGTTGCAACAACAGCGGGTCACCCCAACAGCACAGCGTCGTTCAGGCCATTAGGCGCAAACCTGTGGGCTTTGTAGTGCGGTTCTAGATTTGAGAAGCAGGGGTTGCAGTTGCATGAGCTGCTGAGATGCGAACGAGATCGTCATGGTGTTGGTTGTTCCACTCACCTGAGACGAATCAAAACCATGCAAGGTAGCCAGGCTTGAAGTCTCTTGACTGTATTGCCTTGGCAGGTATGGCAGGTGTGCCAGGCTTGGCAGAACATCTCCAGCGGTAGGAGTTGGATGGATTCCCGGTGCCAGCAGCGTTGACTCCAGAGACCTCGTCAAGCAAAAGTCACAAACCGGATGCGCAGAAAGGCATACTGTCTCCACCATGATTCTCCGGTGCTCGGGATCTGGCCCTCATGTACACATACTGGCGCGACACCTCAGCATCTTCGGCATCAGCTTAAACCCAACAGACTTGGGAGCGAGGGCCCTGCAACGGAGCCACCCCACTTGAAGGTGTCTGTGCCTCGTTTGCATTGCAGGGGCAGCATCCGTATCCGGTTGTAAATAGATATGGGCTGGAAAAGAAAACGGAACCTATAATCTCCAGGATTGCTGTTTTGCTGCCTGGACCAACAAGGAATGCAAACGAGCTGCAGTCAACGGCTTGGGTTGTGGTGCTGCCGGTGATGATGGTGTACCTGGAGCGACATCACATCAATGGGAGTGCCCTCGTCTCTGGAGCTTCAGCCACCGAATCCCAGGAAATATGATTGCCGACTAGTCGCTCTGGGCTGGTCAGGGCTGACCAAGTTGCTCCATCCTGTCAACAAGCTTCTTACAGTGGGATCTCCTACATCCTTTTGCTTGTCATGTCCTTGGAAAGGTAAACCCGCCATCCAGTGATGGCCGAGCCGCCATCCCCACCTGCCAGGCCAGGGCTTGGGAAGCGAGAGCGCCGCAATTTTCGAGGCCTGCAACCCAGGCCAAGTTGATCAAACTGTCTGTGGAGCTCGACACGCTGACCGTGGGCGGGTCAGGGACTGCCTCGCATTGCAGCTGAAGCTTCGCAAATCTTGACCCGTGAATGGTCCAGCAAGTCCCAAGAGCGTGGCTGCCGAGACATATGTGGCAACTGGCGAGGAGGCGCTCGTGCCTACTTCAGAGACCACCTGCCAACCAGCAGACATTTGAATGCATCATACAGAATTTCTCAGGGTGCAGAAGGCCTCTACTTTGAACCGGTAGTTCAGTCCAGCATTGAGGCCGTACCTGTGCGGAATCCGGGGGAAGGTGGGGAAGGTCAGAGTCAACTCAGAGCCGCCCCCATCCATAGATAGCATAGCCCCCTCAGTTTTGATGTTCAGAAGCATACTGAGTAGGCTTTGGGATGGCCTCTCACGACAGAGCAGGGCACTTGGTGAAGGTCCTCTGGGTGGTGTCGGTAATCTGGTCAACCGACCAGGGACCGTTGTTGCCATCGTCCGTATAGATCTGCAAATCCAGCGCAAATGTGCAGCTTGATGGGTGTCTGAGAAATTCCTCTCAAGTTCTGGGAAGCAGCTTTCCAGCCTTGAATCCAGTAAGGAAGGCACCGTTCAAACCTCAACTGTTGCAGAAACTCTTCAAACGTTTTTGTGAAGCTTGTGAAGCTTCTTCGCAGCTCCTCAACAAGAAGTATCATGTCCTCCATGTGCCTTCTTTTTGCAATGACGGTCGCTCAACTCAGCTGCACACCGTTCGTATCGAAGCTGAGGGTAATTGCAGTAGCTGAAGAAGACACCTGGCTGACAAGTGCAGCAATCAGCTCGCAATGGCTGGCTGCTGAACGAACGTCTCTAGGTGCAATGCCAGGCCAGGGGCAAGAGGTGTGCCCGGGACCTGTACAAGAAGCTGGTGCAACAGGGCTATGCGCAGGTCAAAGAACGATTACCGAGTTGATCGGGTCTGGGTGCCAGGCAGCTGAGCAGCGCTGCTGCAGGGGAGTCGAGAAGGCACCCTCGCCGGCATTGCTCACAGCGGACATGATGATCCAAATGTACCTGAAGGCACATGCGAATTCTGCACAAGGAGCTGTGGCAGCCGAGCACCCACTCTCTCGTGCGTTCTGTGTCTTACTCTTGTGGTGGCGCACTGCTGGCTCCAGCTTGCCGCTGCAAAGTTCGTGCAGTCAAAGGAGTAGCTGACAAAGGCCGCAGCCAAGGTAGCCTTGACGACAAGCCGGGCAAAAGCACTTCGGTCTCAAGAAACTGCCGCTGTACTTGCGGCTGGGCACAGCTGAGGTTCCACTTGGGCTCGGGCTGTGGGAATGTTTGGATTGGTGGGATATGCAACACCGTCCGTGGAGATGTAGGCCCTCCACTCCGTGATGGGCGACCCGCCTCAGGGACTTTTGGCATTGCTGGCTGCTGGGCTCTGGATGTTGGCACGTGTACTGTGAGCCTACCACATCAAGCACACCAACAGCATGTGCATCGAATCGCGGGCTGCCTGTAGAGCCCAGAAGTTGGGCAGAATACTCCAAAGTCGTATCCGATGTAGAAACCTGGAATCAGCACTTCTGCATTGACAATGAGCATTTCAGAAAGCAGGAGCCCTCATAGCAGATATCCATGTCCGAACATGGTGCAAAATCTGAATGCAAGCCCAGGCGTACCGAATGCAAGCATCTGGCTAGATTATCCCCCGCAAACTCCTCATTCGCATCCGCCGACAGGCGACTGGAGGAAACAAACAAGGATCCGGTCGTTGTTGGGGGGAGGGTCAGACCAAAAAGTACCCAAGCCCTTCACACCGCCTGCCGCATGGACCCTCCAGTCGCCCCCCGTTCACAACCAGAACCTGGTTGCGACAGCCAGATGTCAGAGCTTCAAATAAAATGCAGACCCCATCAGACTGGCTACGAAACCAGACTTTAGTACAACCTCAAAGTTTGAAGTCGGCCAAGATGTCCTACAGCTGGGTGTTCCCAAATTCCCCTAGCTCTAGACGTCGGACCTTACACCCTGAGTCCGTAAACTGTAAACACAAGCCTCAACTTCAACCAACGTGGTTAGCTCCAAAACAATTGTTCACGCTACAACACCTTCTTGCCTCCATGCACTTTGCCTGCACACCTCTTTGTTTGAACACACACATGGATAAAACTTCCCGCTTCGAAGATCATATATCGGGGGGGCCTGCTGGTACAAGCTGGGGAACGTTCTAAACATGAACCTGTCCAAATACCTATGACAAGCATGACAACGTCAGACATGTACATCATGAAAAAATTTGCATGTTTGCAACCATCATGACATGTCTCAAACTGTAAAGCGATCGGGACTTCGTCCGGATCTGATTTACAAGACACAAACTGCGGGGGTGCTGAAATAGGACAAATTCTGCTTTCCGGTTTTTCAAATAGACGTGGGAGCGCCCCCCCCCCCTGGTCCAGATAAAGCGCAGAGCACACCCGTCTCCCTGTGAGGCAGCCTTCCACAAGCGCAATGAAAGGAGAGAAAGCAAATTGCTGATGGGGTCCCAATGCGCGCACAGGCGCACAGGCGCTCCTGGCCCCTGCATGTCGTCCCACCTCCGTTTCTTCCTATTTCTCCTCCTGGCCTCACGCAGCATCGGCAATCTTGCGTCTTTTTGTGTCCTGTGACAGGTAATTCTGTGGCCCAGTAAGGTGGTCTTCCCCACATGCGAGCGGGGAAAAAAAAATGCTGATGGTGTTCCAGGCCATGCACGCACCGGGGTTTCCGGCCCGTGCATCATTTCTTTCTATTCTTCCTCCCGGCCTATAACAACATCGGCTAGGCTATGTCCTCCTGTGACAGATAGCTCTGTCTGTACAGTTGGCAGCCTGCGAACGGGCGCCTTGCAAGGCTTTAACGCCGTACGGAATCCCTGCTTCCGAACTGGTCAAAACAATGTCTAACATGCCGATCCTTTTGCATCCGTCTTCTACAACTGGTCCTGCTGAGCAGCAAATCTATCAAACATGTCCAAAAACCCTTAGCTTAGAATCAGGGTGCACACACACAGGCCCCCCCGGAGAGGGGATGACCTGAATAGCAAGCAGCCTAGCAAATCAGATTGAATGAGATACTACCCTCACTGGCTGATGCTGAAGTCTCAAGAACGTCTTCGGATGCGTAATCGAGGTCTTGGGAAGCCTAACTGGAATGACCACCCACATGAACCAAAGGCTGACGATCATGCGCAATGACTGCTCTAGCATCCTCAGGCTCAAGCCGGTAAAGCAAAAGCGGAGGTCCGATCACAAACACCCGTACAACACGTCCGTGTCATCCCGAACAGCACGTCTCAAAAGACTTTTGAACATGTTCCAGGTAGAAGTACTCGCCGTACACAACGCCCAGAGTGTTTGACGATCTCCCGGGCCCAAACTCGACGCATCAGCTCGAAGTACGTCTGGGTTCATGGGATTCGGGCGATCACTCACGATGGCGCAGATCCTGTGGGAAATCTTTCCGCAAAGAAGCGGCCTCCTGACAGCCTACGAACAACTTGCACAATCACAGCTGGCAGAATACAAACAAGCGTCCCGCTCAAGGCAGACCAAGAAAATGTTTACTAAGCGAACAACGCGCAATTTTCTGACCTACCAGCAATCTCGTTTAGTCGGCTCATTTGCACATTGAAGGTCAGTACGCGTTCACAAACAAAGAACAATGAGGTGAGTCATCCCACCTAGTCGAAATTCATTGCAAGCCTTGACGAAAAAGGCGCCAACGAACTCATCTTCATCGTCACTGAACATCCGAAAGAGAAAGCGCTTTTATGTGACGCCGCAACAAGATGCTGCGTACATAAGCAACGTTGTCCAACGACTTCCAAACAGGAAGATTGAAGCCAACCACGGTGCACAGAGGCCACGCGACACTAAGGAACCATGTGTTGCGTTCGTCCATGAAAGCACACTCTGTCCAGATTGGGAAAGAAGCTGCGGAGCGCGAACACCGATCCTGAACCTGAATGCATCCTCTGCACAATGGAAACAGCGATTTGTGTCTGACTCGATCTGGTCCTGAGACGATGCGCCAGAAGAGTTGGCAGAGTCCTCCTGAGTTCTTGGTTGATCGGGTACATCCTGCATGTAAAACGAGAGCTCAACGCGTTGCATCATCAGTCATGAGTTTAAGAAATACATGCCGTTGGAAGGCCAGGAACCTAAGGCTCGAGCACTCACCTGACTCAAATAGGAACACACAGAAAGTGAATCACTCGTGCATCTCAACGGACAATATCATCAAACAAACGAGCAGGGCACCCGCAGTCACACGACACGCAGATGGCCTCATCTTTGCGTCCTAACTGAGACGTGCCCCTCTCCAAAGATCAAGTCAGAGGAGCGGAGCCATTGCACGCCAACAAGTCATTGGTCTCCAGGTCCGTACCGTACTTGTCCATCAACAGAGTCCGGGCGTCATTCCAATGAACGCCGAAGACAAGGAAGAGACTATCCGAGAATTCCACAACAAACTGAACAACATTCTCGCGAATCAACTTCCACATGGTCCACTCATCAGCCGCCACGAGCACAACACGATACACTCTTCCTCTGGCCATGAGATCTGACACAATTGGCTGAGGCATGAGGTTCCTGTCAGGAATACGAGAAACCGGACCCAGGCTCGAACGATACTCCTCAGCAGTTTGAAAAATAGGGTCGGCCATGTAACGCATGTCGGTAGCTAAAAAGAAATCGTCACAGACCTACCACCCGAACCACTGAAAGCCTGCTCATAACGAGAGAAACATGTTGCTATATGGAAACGTGTCAGCAACAAGAAGAGGACCTCTGCGAGCAGCTTCCGACGTATCACCACATCGCAATGCAAACACTAAACACTCCTTTTCAAGCCTCCAAAGCCTACCGGAAGCTCCACACGAAGAACGCGTTGAACAAGACGTTGAAAAGCTCCACGCAGTCTACGCGAGTCCTGCTGCATCCTGCGTGCCTTGGTTCTCAGCTGAGCTTGGAGTTCAACCAACCTGGACTGCGTCACTGCCCGATCCGAAGCCTCTGCCTCAAGACTGCCGGTTGTCTGAGATTGTTCCTCGGTCTGCGCGCAAGGAGAAGGTTGACAATTTTCCCCAGACGAACCCTCCATGATCCTTGTTACATGTGATGTTGTTGAAGTTTGAGAAGAAACCTGCAGGAGACAGTGTTGAATAGAAATTCTCAACAAAAAGAAGCAAACAAGGCGGAGAAGCTGCTTGTCACTGACATCGAACGCGATGCGAAGTTCCTGCACCTAACAGCAACAGACATGAAGCTGCAGCGAATCAGGGAATAATCTCATTTGCACAGGTTGAATCTCAAGGGTGTACAACTCTAGAAAATGAGATCTCCATTTCAGCGCCGCAACACCAGAATGTCTGCACAGGTTTTGCTGTAACTGGGCAGGGGCCGAAGGCAAAAGGCGATGCTGTAGGTGCATATGGATTCACAAAGTTGCAAAGCGGCAGGGGACATAAGACTCATCAGATGTTCCCACGCACGTAACCATGATCTCCATTGAAAACTCACATCACATCTACAACACGGCAGTGGTTTAGACCGAACTATCGTCTCAAACTGCAGGAAGGACAAGATCACGCAACGGCGTCCAATGGCAATTTAAACATGACCCGTCTGCTAAGCCAACCTGCGTCCACCAAACACTACGGGTCAGAAACCCACGACCCGCAGTAGGTTTCAGTTACGTCCTCCACCTGTGGCCAAGTCAACGCCAAGGGGCGCGTCAGTCTCGCGATGGACAAAACTCGAGCTAACTCGACAGCGCAAACTGCCGACTGCCCACGGACTGCAGTGTTCTGAGTAACACGGCATCCACAGGCTAACGAACCGCGCAGGCTCCTTGCATCACTGAACAGGTAGCGGAGCAATACCTCGCCTGGAATGTTCACGAGAAGGATGGGACGACCATAGACCTCCAAATCAAGAAGCAAACGACGCCTACGAGTCAGCAAAGAGCTCAGTTCACAGGAGGCACGCAGCTACCGTTGGATTTGGCCAAAGCTTTTGGTTTTACGCCACGCCATCTTCTTCTGATGTCCCTGGAAAGGATCTCGCTACCGGAAGACCTCCATTATTCTTTACATTCACGACAATGCTGTTATGAAATTTTGTAAGGGAACTGAAGAGGTCATTGTCCGAATTGGCAGCGGCATACGTCAGGGGTGCGGGCTCGCGCCACTACTGTGGGTTGCCTTTACCATCCTCCTGTTTGACAGATTTACTCGACACCTGTCCCTTGATCAAATAACGGGCTTTGCGGACGACATTCATACGCACTGGAATCTCAGCAACCCAGACAGTTTCGCAATGCCTGTGCGCAAGTAGGCTACATTTTGGAGGATCTCAGAGAAATGGGCGCGCAAGTGTCTACGGACAAGACCGTCATACTGCTAGCGCTCGCGGGCCCTCCATACAACAAAATTACATCACCAATTTTTCTCTGCACGCAACCAAGCTACCCTGCTTTATCAGCTTGTACGGTCCAGAGCGCAGAAGAGTCAGAAGCATCTAGA